TCCTGCTGGTGTTTTTATGTTTTGTCTGAAATTCCTTTACTAGATTCCCGTTTGATCGACAAAATCGGTTAAAGATGGCTTCTTTCTCCTCCTCGCTTCTCTCTTCTTCTGTTCGTCATCCTCTGACATTATCTTCTTAGCGGAAATGAGATCATCGAGGTAAATATTGCAGGTTAAGGCCCATGTCGTGCTACGATTGATTGATTACACGTGATCACTGGAAACACAGTTGATGACGGCGGCCACCTATACGATATACGCATCCTCCTTTCGCGGGTTCTTCGTTTGAATTCCTGAGTTCTTGGATCGATCAAGTTTCTGAGGCAATTCACACGGGGTTTCGATCTATGTACGACGTTTGCGGGTGTTGAGGAATCGTGCCTGCTTCTGCAGTTCACTGACGAGAGGTTCCGACCCGTCAAAGATCTCTCGCCATTGATTGATGTCTGAGCTCGGAGCTCGCATCCATGGCCGAGCCACCAAAGCTTCAGTTTGGGATTACCGTACTGTTTCGTTTCACTCTCCTTCCTTGGTTATCTTCTCAGTATTCCCACTCTGGTTACAAGATTGTACTGAGCATATATGGTTGATTAGGAGAGCTTATGGGTCATAATCCAAAGTTTACTAAGCTAATTAATGGCTGATTAGAAATGGTTTTGGTTTTGCTAATTATGCTCGAAAATTCTGCGATTCAACAGGAGTTTGGAATTTGAATGGATGGATGGAGTTCTTGGGGGTTTTAAAATTTAAAAACAAACAAAAAATAATTATCAAGATTTTATAAATTTAATTTTCCTAAAATTTTAAAAACAATTTTAATGAAAAAAATTAGTTAAAAGCCAATAATAAGCCCATAATTATATTCGGTCTCTTTCGATAATTATATATATCGGTTCAGAAATTATGCAAGAGATGGTCATAAATTAATAATAACAATTAAAAATTATATAATGACCGAAATTACAGAGATCGTTTTTCTATATGGAGAGCGAAAAAAGAGGAAAAAGCCATCACGCATGTAAATGCCTACAGCGATCTCTGACCGTTTTGCGACTACAAATAAAAAAAGAAAAAATCTCCGTCTGGACCCCTGAAGCCTCACCAACTCCGCCATCTCTCTCTTTCTCTCTTCAGATCTTTGCTCGCTAATTCCCTCGTGCTCCATCATCATCCATGGGTGATTCATCTGCTTCTCTGTTCTGTTCTCCTCCTTGTCGGAGTGCATTTTTTGATTTGAAGTCCTTTTTGTTTTCGCTCTGATCAGATTTTGTGGTCGTTTTCTGATTATTCGATTTCTTCTTGCTTTCGATCTTTGTTTTTTTACGCGTTTCAGCTTCCGAGAATCCCTTCCACAGCATTTTCAAGACCCTTGAGAGGCCTGACGGCGGCGAGTTTGGGAAGTACTACAGTTTGCCTGATCTGAACGATCCCAGAATCGGTGAGTACCTTTCTGATTGATGCCAACGTAGGGAATTGATTCCACCAAAGTTTGTGAATATTATGTTTTTTTTTTCGGGGAAGATATTGTCGTGGTGTCGACCGATTTTTGTGAGAAGAAGTTGCCGGGCGAGATCTTGGGTTTGATTGACATAAATGTTGCGGGTTGATGGATGCAGATAAACTTCCGTATTCGATTAGGATACTTCTCGAATCGGCTATACGTAACTGTGATGAGTTTCAAGTTAAGAACAGAGATGTTGAGAAGATACTTGACTGGGAGAATTCTGCCCCCAAGCAGGTTGAGATTCCGTTCAAACCTGCTAGGGTGCTCCTTCAGGTGATCAGCTTTTGACTTGTCTGAAAACGAGATCCTTCGTATGATCTTCGGGGTGAACAACCTTAGGATTACAATGTTGATTTCCGTTCGTTTTCAGGATTTTACCGGTGTTCCTGCGGTTGTCGATCTTGCTTGTATGAGAGATGCCATGAACAAGCTCGGCGGTGATTCTAACAAGATTAATCCACTGGTAAGTTGCTTGCTTGGTATTGGCTGTGATTGGGTGAACCTCATGTGTCTTTTTGGTGTGCTTCAGGGATTGATGAGAGGCTTTGATATCTGCAGGTCCCTGTAGATCTTGTCATTGATCACTCGGTTCAGGTTGACGTTGCAAGATCAGAAAATGCAGTGCAGGCAAACATGGAACTTGAGTTCCAGCGTAACAGGGAAAGGTTTGCTTTTCTCAAATGGGGTTCAAATGCATTTCACAACATGCTTGTCGTACCCCCTGGATCTGGGATTGTGCACCAGGTAAGTAGCGGCAGTATGGTTTTACGATTCACTACTGTGTTTCTTTTGCCAGTGGAAATCTTCCCTTTTAAGCGGATAGATCAAGTTTGTGTTCTCAATTGACAGGTCAACCTCGAATACCTTGCCAGAGTTGTATTCAACACAAATGGAGTCCTTTACCCAGACAGTGTTGTTGGAACAGATTCTCACACCACCATGATTGATGGACTTGGTGTTGCTGGATGGGGAGTTGGCGGTATAGAGGCAGAAGCTGCCATGCTTGGTCAGGTAATATTATTTGCTCTCATTGGCTTTCATCCTGAGCTCCTTGTGTAATCTGAAACTTTGGCTGCTGGATTCTAGTCTAGGGAAGGTTCTTTTGCAGCTAAAGCTTTAATACTCAGATATGGTATCTTATACTTTCTATCTGTGATTCTAATGGAGTTCACGATCTCCTTATATGCAGCCAATGAGCATGGTCCTGCCTGGTGTTGTCGGTTTCAAACTAACTGGAAAATTAAGAGATGGAGTGACAGCGACTGATTTAGTCTTAACAGTGACTCAGATGCTGAGGAAACATGGAGTAGTCGGAAAGTTTGTCGAATTCCATGGTAATTCGATAAAATTTTGATGGCACATTTTATGATTAATTACCTATTTGTTATCTGTTTGAGTTGTGCTAATTCCATGCATCCAATGCGCTCATTACAGGGGAAGGGATGAGGGAATTGTCTCTAGCCGACCGTGCTACAATTGCCAACATGTCTCCTGAGTATGGTGCGACCATGGGATTTTTTCCCGTGGATCATGTCACTTTGCAGTATCTTAAGTTGACTGGCAGAAGTGATGACACTGTAAGCATTATGTTTCAAATATGTTATGTTTTTTTTTTCCGAGGAACTTACACTTCAGTTCTTACAATTATGCCTTTGTTAGGATAATGATTCGTGAACTAAAAAATGCAGGTCGCAATGATAGAATCCTATTTACGGGCTAATAAGATGTTTATAGACTACAATGAGGTAATTCTTGTGAATACTTGAATCCTTGATGGTTCTTCTCTTATTTCGGTGATCATCTGTTGCATTGCGTCACACGCTCCCTTCTTGGAACGTGTCGTTCATTTCAGCCTCAAAGTGAGATAGTGTACTCCTCTTGTTTGGAACTGAAACTCGAGGATGTGGAACCTTGTATATCTGGGCCCAAGAGGTACTATTAATGAATGTCTTTTACACAATTTTTTGAGGATCCATTTCCATTGTCATTACAAATGTTTGGTACATACCCACGATGCAGGCCACATGACCGTGTTCCTATCAAGGAAATGAAGGCAGACTGGCATGCTTGCTTGGATAACAGAGTTGGGTTCAAGGTTAGAGCTTTGACCTCTCCTTTCAGTTGGTATGAAACATTTCATGCAATTTTTTTACTGTCCTGAGAGCTGCATGGATAGGAAACTGTTAAACTTCAAGTCAAAGAAATGTGGTAATTTGCTGTGAAACCTGAGGTGTTTGAATCATCGATTGTGTTGGACAAATAACAACTGTGTCCTGGGAGATCGATTGATTTGTAGGATATTACCTAGTTTCAATTTCAAAGGCAGTTTTTTTAATGATGATACTTCTCCATGGTTTTCCAGGGGTTTGCTATACCAAAAGAAGCGCAGAACAAGGTTGTTGATTTCGATTTTCATGGAACTCCAGCTCAGCTTAGACATGGGGATGTTGTTATAGCGGCAATCACTAGTTGCACAAACACCTCTAACCCTAGTGTAATGCTTGGTGCTGCCTTGGTTGCAAAGAAGGCTTGCGAACTGGGACTGGAGGTCAGATTACTTTCCTCTCTGTCTCTCTCTGTGCACCTGATTACATTAATATTGTTCTGTGTGCAAGAGAAGTAATAAAATGTTCTAATTTTTTTCCAAATCAGGTCAAACCATGGATTAAAACTAGCCTTGCCCCTGGTTCTGGGGTTGTAACCAAATATCTGCAAAAGAGGTGCTAACAGATATACTATCAAACATTTCATGAGGTCCTTCTTTTTCCTATGTGGTACACGATTCTGAGGTTCAAATTCTTGCAGTGGCTTGCAGAAATACTTGAATCAGCTTGGCTTCAATATAGTGGGTTATGGGTGTACGACATGCATAGGGAATTCCGGGGATATTGATGAAGCTGTGGCATTAGCCATAGCTGATAATGGTAAGTCTTTAATAGGTTGTGGTGTGTTTTCAGGCAGATGGTTTGAAAGATAACCCTAAAAGGTTTCTCATGATGTACAGACATGGTGGCTGCGGCTGTGTTGTCGGGCAACAGGAACTTCGAGGGACGTGTACACCCGTTGACCCGAGCTAACTATCTTGCTTCCCCTCCACTTGTTGTAGCCTATGCCCTTGCTGGAACTGTACGTTAATTCTGATTTTATAATTACTAGATATCAATCAAGCATTCCCGTTATGCATTGCCTCTTGTTACATCGTTGGAGAGTGTAATTGTCACCATGAATCACTTTGCAGGTTGACATAGATTTTGAGACAGAGCCGATTGGAACAGGGAAAGATGGCAAGCAGATATTTTTTAGGGACATCTGGCCATCTAACAATGAAGTGGCTGAGGTAAATATACTTGGGCTGCTCTTAAACAAAGCAAAGGATTTTTCAAGCAGAGTATCTACGGAATTTAAGTGTTTTTCTGCTTTCACTCAGGTTGTACAAGCTAGCGTGCTTCCTGATATGTTTAAAGCTACATACCAAGCAATCACCAAAGGAAATTCCATGTGGAATCAGTTGTCAGTCCCATCCGGCACTCTCTATGCCTGGGATCCAAAATCAACTTACATTCACGAGCCTCCTTATTTCAAGGACATGACCATGTCTCCTCCTGGCCCGCACAGCGTGAGGAACGCTTACTGTTTGCTCAATTTCGGAGACAGCATTACAACCGATCACATCTCTCCAGCTGGTAGTATTCACAAAGACAGTCCTGCAGCAAAGTACTTGATGGAACGAGGTGTAGACAGAAGAGACTTCAACTCTTATGGAAGCCGACGTGGTAATGACGAGATTATGGCCAGAGGTACCTTTGCCAATATCCGCATTGTCAACAAGCTCTTGGGAGGAGAAGTCGGGCCCAAAACAATTCACGTCCCTAGTGGAGAGACGCTTTCCGTCTTTGATGTTGCCATGGTAATCTCACCCTTCCCTGATTTTTCCTAAATGTTATGCATTGCTATTAATTTGCATCTCATATGTTTAATATACTTTTAACTCGGACAGAAATACAATAGTGATGGACAAGACACCGTCATTTTGGCTGGTGCTGAATATGGAAGCGGAAGTTCTCGTGACTGGGCCGCTAAGGGTCCGAAGCTTCTGGTATATTTCTGATTTGCACATGGAGAAAATCACATTCGAAGCTTTTGGGTATCGATTTAATCTGCGCTTTTGTGTTGCTCAGGGGGTGAAAGCCGTGATAGCGAAAAGCTTTGAGAGGATTCACAGAAGCAACTTGGTGGGTATGGGGATCGTTCCTCTCTGTTTCAAGGCAGGGGAAGATGCCGAGACTCTCGGCCTGACTGGCCACGAGCAGTACAACATCGAGCTCCCGAGCAATGTCGGCGAAATAAAACCCGGACAGGACGTGACCGTCGTTACAAACAACGGAAAATCCTTCTCGTGCACCCTCCGGTTCGACACAGAGGTAAAAGAAGATTGTTCATATATTTTCCATTTCCGTTTCCGTCGTTTCATCTCTGTGAGGGCGTTTGAGAGATTGTTGAGATGGAAACTTGTGAATATTTTGTAGGTGGAGTTGGCGTATTTCAACCACGGAGGAATCTTGCAATACGTTATCCGCAATCTGATTGGTTCAAAGTGATGAAACTCAAGCGGAAGAGCCTTTGTCCGAATCTGATGCAACTCTTTTATCCACAAGGTAAGATTTCATTTTCAAGGGGAACGACTAAGATGAAGACTTTGCGCGTTGTTAATTTTTTTTTTAATCTTCGCTGTTTGGGAAGGACTTGCTCGTTTGTTTTGAAGTGATGATGCTGCTTCATGTTTTCTGAAACCATTTTCTTTTCCTAATAAAATGCTTTTACATTAGCCTGTTACGTCCCGTTGGCCAAGTTCATTATGGCTAGGAGTTGAGTTATTTTTGTTTTATTGAAACTATACTTATTTGATTTTGGATCGGTTTTTATTATTTGATTTTACTTCAGTTTATTAAAACACATTTACCTTTCAATTTTGTTTTCATTCGATTATTTTCAACGGTTAAAGGGTTTCGATTTTTAGATTAATTTCGATTCAGGTATTAGTAGTATTATTAGGTTGGAACCGAAATGGTCCGCACCTAATGCTTTGGCTTCCATGATTCTGATGTCGCAAAAATCGTGCCCACACATGATGCACGCACGATTTGGCCACTTCACGTTACTTTTAATTCTTCTGCATGAATACGTAAAAGCATATGTATCTACACACACATGTAGATACATGTATATATATATATATGTTTTCATGTGACAAGAATATTTTGTCTGAATTGGATAACGAATCACGGAGGTCCGAATGAAAATCGTATTTCGCAACTCTTATCGCCCATCTCAAGTCCTCCCTCAACAGATTCAGCAACAATTTAATTTAATCATATCATAATTCCCGGGAAATGCTCAAACACGAGAACACAGTTTACGCAGCGCAGTGCAGATCCATCAACCAAATGCTTTTGTTGCGCACACACACACACACATATATATATATATATATATATATCATATAGTTTCAGTACCTAAACCAAATGATTTGGAGAGGCTTCAAACATGTCTCAAAAGACATCGAGAGAAGTAGGATAGAGAGGAATGGTAGGCTTCAAAGGGAAACAGTTTGGCACATAAGAAGATCTCCTTTTTCGTCCCATACAGTCCGCAGATCCCTCATGTGCAGTAGGCTGGTTCAGGTATGCATACCTGCTCTTTGTCCACCTTTATACATACCCCATAACACCCGGTTAACCTCGTTGACAAGTCTCTAACAATATATATTGCATAGATGATGTTTACAGATAAGACGTTCGAGAAAATCCGGGATGATTTTCCGTTTCGCAGCCCAATGAGGGTTATAATATATTGGTAGATGTGTAAGGTTGAATGAAATGGGATTTTATTTCACTTACCAGTCTTTTATCCCGACGTGAACTTCTTTGCCCGTGAGACTGTTATTGGAGGAGATGATTTCCAGTTTCTCCAAGTCCAGGCTTTCTTCGAAGCATTTGTAGTCATCTTCCTGCGCAGGATTACAACTCACAGTTAAAGAACCAAAGATACTGGAAATTGAATCATGCCTCTATCATGAAACTCTACAATGGAGCTGTAAGAATAGAGTATATTTTTCAATGGTAATGAGTAATATCAACAAAAACAGCAAATTAACCGCGCTGGCATCAGGAATCAAACGCCATACAGAGAGCGATCGGGCCCTGACACGAGCTGCAGCCTTGATGGCAGCAAAGATATGCTCCTCTTCAATGATCTGCTTCTGTCTCCAGAACTTCTTGATCTGTTTATTGGTTATGCTCTCTCCGTCTTTCTTTCTAACACCGGATCCCGGCTGAGGAAGCAGCGGAGGAATTGCCAGTGAACTTTTCAGACAAAAGCGCTCAGACCCCTCCTCAACCTGCTTCATCGTGCCAGAACTCAAGTCTTTTCCTCCGACCTTCAAATCTCTGCCTCGTCTTAATTCACCTGCTGGATTACACACATATACAACACGAGCAGCGCAAGATTTTAAGAGGGTATGAGCCCTCGAAGGAAAGCTTCCACAGTGAAACCCAGAAGCTACTAATCAAAACCTACCCTTCAACAAGAGGTAAACTGAGTCTACCAAGAGATCAGCTACGTCTGCCCTTCAGTTTGTTGCAGATTGTCTTGTAAGAAAAGAGAACTAAACTATTTGAACAAGACCACAGACAGACTGGTAGTTGTAACTTCTAATCTTCTGAAACATTTAACGTATAAACAATTAGGGTTCTGGATAATGCAAAATACTCCTTTTTACGAAACTAGTGGCATTGCTTTCGGTCACAGCCATTAAACATGAATGGATGTCACTATCCACACCACCGACAAGCCATTTTCTAAGGTCCTCCTAATTCCGATTCATTAACCAACCACTGAGTTTGTGTTCCCTTCATCTGTACCAATTCTAATCGGGCATTTGCAAACCGCATATCATAAAAAGCAATCTACTTTAACTTCCTAGCATGACGCAATCTTCTGGGTCTGTATTAAATTCCCAGTTCTTGAATCTAACAAATGAGAAAAACCCAGCTAAAGGCAGAGAAACAACCATCTCATTCATGTCAGATCCAGCACTATGGAAACCAAGAAATTGATGAGGACATGAATCAATCATCTGGGTCGTTCTCAAAATTTCAATCTCCAATCGAATCATCGAAAGAAAACCCACGTAGAGGTGGATAACAACGATCTGATTCATCATCAAAGTCATCGGAAACACAGCACATAGATTATTCGTGCACTCTATCACTGCTCCAAAAAGCCGATAATGTCTGAGACGATAATCGAGGGGCGCGAGGAACAACCTGACTCGGACCGAACCCGAACTGACTGACACCGTCGTCGTAGATGTAGCCGACGAGCCGGCCACAGCTACTGCACTTGATCTTTGTCCGTTTCCACTGGATTCGCCAGTAGTTTAGGGTTTAGAAGAAAGACATGATCTTGTCCTCATTCCCAAACCGGAACTTTGGTCGCGTCGGCGGCGGAGAACGAGACCGCCCCATTGTTCCCGGCTCCAAACTAGAATCCCGCAGGTACAAATGATCGGGATTAGATACAGATACAGATTCAGATTCCTTGCAACTGTAAACCGCCAAATCCATTGATCCGATGATAAATTTTCCCTCTGATTTGGTTCTTCTTTCTTATTCTTATCGTATCTGTACGGCAGTTCACCAGATACTGGAATTTTGACGCCGCCAATGTTTGGGCCTTGACGCCTATAATTTTATGGGCTATTTATTTGACCCAATATCCTATGACATCAGGAGCCTTTTATAATTGTTTTTTTACCGGGATTATCCTTAATATTATTATTTTTTTTATATAGTTTCACAGTTTTATAATTGTACAATCTTTGATTTACATGGCCTCTTGATGACATTTTTGGACCAGTCGCCCTTTGGTTATTTTTCAATGTAAAATCTATTTTGTATTTAGAAAATGGGCCGTAGTGGGCCTCTGGGTTCAATCATTCGATCCAGTTAAGGGTTACAAAACTGCGCACCCGGCGCATGATAACGAATGCGGCATTTCTAGCGCAGCCACTTTGTCTATAAATAGACCCTTAGGGCTCAAGACTTTGTTTAGCGTACGCGTTTTTCTTCCTGAAGGGACGAAGAAGCGCGAGGGAGAATTCAGATCTCGCCATGTCAGATGGAAGCTCGAGTAGCTGACTGACACAATCGAACAGAAACCTCTAAGGAACGGATTGAGAGGAAAACAGTGAAGAAAAGTTCTTGAATTTTTGCTTGTGGAGAAGTCCCGATTCTAGGGTTTCTTTTGTCTTGATTGGATTCTGCCGCCATGGATACTCGGTTTCCGTTTTCTCCGGCGGAGGTGGCCAAAGTCCGGGTGGTTCAGTTTGGCATAGTCAGCCCGGATGAAATCGTAATTCTTCTGTTTCTTTGGCTCTCGCTTGATGTCTTCATCTTCTTTGCTTCCGTGCTCTTCTTCTGCCTTGCTTGGTTAGCAGGAATATTGTGGGGGGAGTATGAAAGTTAGAAAATTTGTGGGATTAGTTGAGCAGCTTGTTTTCTCCTGTTTTTTTATGTCAATTGGAAGCTGCAGCTGTGGATTATGGTGGGTTGATTGCGGTTCTATGTTGCTGGTTTCTAATGGCGGTTTGGTTTTGTTTATGCAGAGACAAATGTCGGTTGTACATATTGAGCATAGTGAGACTACCGAGAAGGGAAAACCGAAGATTGGAGGACTGAGTGATCCTCGGCTTGGTACCATTGATCGGAAGGTGAAGTGTGAGACGTGTATGGCTAACATGGCTGAGTGCTCGGGGCACTTTGGCCATCTCGAGCTCGCCAAGCCGATGTTTCATGTCGGTTTCTTGAAGATCGTGTTGAGTATCATGCGATGCGTTTGCTTCAATTGCTCCAAAATTTTAGCTGACGAGGTATGGAGGATTTATGGCACATGTACCAGGGAAAATTTCTTCTGGGCTTTGGCTCAAGTCTATTTTCAAGAGAATTGGGATTACTAGAGAGTCATGCATTTAGAGATGTTAGAACCATATGAGTATTTCTCCTGCCATGTGTACTGCATCTAATTATCGTATTGGAATTTCCATGCAGGAGGACCATAAATTTAAGCAGGCTTTGAAGATAAAGAATCCCAAAAACAGGCTTAAGAAGATTTTAGATGCCTGCAAAAACAAGACCAAATGTGAAGGTGGTGATGAAATTGATGTCCACAACCAAGACACAGACGAACCAGTTAAAAAAAGCCGTGGTGGGTGTGGTGCTCAGCAGCCAAAGCTGACTATTGAAGGTATGAAAATGATTGCTGAGTATAAAGCTCAAAGGAAGAAGAATGATGATCAGGACCAGCTTCCTGAGCCAGCAGAAAGGAAACAGACACTTGGTGCTGATAGGGTTTGTGTTTGCCTAAGAATGATTTGTCCTCTTCTACTCCGTCATGTTTTGGTCAATCTGATAATTTGCAAGCTTCGTGCAGGTTTTGAGTGTTTTAAAGAGGATTAGTGACGAGGATTGCCAGCTCTTAGGGTTTAACCCTAAGTATGCTCGTCCTGACTGGATGATTCTACAAGTCCTTCCTATTCCTCCGCCTCCTGTGAGGCCCTCTGTGATGATGGATGCCACTGCCAGGAGTGAGGCAAGTCTTGTTTGCTTTATCTATCCCTGTTGTTAAATTGAATCAAGTCAAGTAGTATCTACGACATAATTGCTGTTAGATTTTGTTTTGCTTCTCCATGAATTTGAGTTGGTTTGTATCTCTGACTTTATGCTTGGCTCGATACAGGATGATTTGACTCATCAGTTAGCGATGATTATTCGGCACAACGAAAACTTGAAAAAACAAGAAAAAAATGGGGCACCGGCACATATTATATCAGAGTTCACACAACTCTTGCAGTTTCATATTGCAACATATTTTGATAACGAGTTGCCTGGACAGCCAAGGGTAACACATTCCTATCTTGCTTTGTATCTGCTATGGCTATGCTATGTACAAATTCGGTTCTGTTTAAATATCCTTATCTTGAGCAGGCTACTCAAAAATCAGGGAGGCCCATCAAATCAATTTGCAGTAGGCTTAAGGCAAAGGAAGGCAGGATCAGGGGAAACTTGATGGGGAAGCGTGTCGATTTCTCTGCACGAACTGTTATCACACCAGATCCTACAATTAATATTGATGAACTTGGTGTACCATGGAGTATCGCTCTGAATCTTACTTACCCAGAAACAGTTACCCCATATAACATTGAAAGGTTAGCATTGTAGCTGTGTTGATTTTTATATTCAGTGTGTGTTCTCCTTGTTCTTGTTGACACTTTAATTTTTGACTGGCAGGCTGAAGGAGCTCGTTGAATATGGGCCACATCCTCCTCCTGGAAAGGCCGGTGCCAAATATATCATAAGAGATGATGGGCAAAGGCTAGATCTTCGGTACCTTAAAAAGAGCAGTGATCACCATTTGGAACTTGGATATAAAGTATTACTGTCTTTCCATATTTTCTACTCTCATCATGCAAATTTTTTTTTTTTTGCGGTGTAGTCCTTATGTGTGTTGATGTTCTTGTTACAGGTGGAGCGACATTTGCAGGATGGTGATTTTGTTCTTTTCAATCGTCAGCCGAGTCTGCACAAAATGTCCATTATGGGCCACAGAATTAGGATTATGCCGTACTCCACATTTCGCCTGAATTTGTCTGTCACCTCTCCGTACAATGCTGATTTTGATGGTGATGAAATGAACATGCATGTCCCACAGTCGTTTGAGACTAGAGCAGAAGTGTTGGAGCTGATGATGGTTCCTAAATGTATCGTTTCTCCTCAGTCGAATAGGCCTGTGATGGGTATTGTGCAGGATACGCTTCTAGGGTGCCGTAAAATCACTAAGAGGGACACCTTCATCGAGAAGGTGATATCTCGGTGGCAGTTTGCTTCTAAGTAGTGAGGGGTTAAACTAATTTAACTTCGGTGTTCTGATATTTTCTGCAACTTGGCAGGACGTGTTCATGAACATACTTATGTGGTGGGAAGACTTCGACGGAAAAGTTCCAGCTCCTGCAATTTTGAAACCGCGTCCTCTTTGGACTGGCAAACAAGTTTTCAATCTTATAATACCAAAACAGATAAATTTGTTGCGATTTTCTGCGTGGCACTCGGATCAAGAGACTGGATTCATAACTCCAGGGGATACTCAAGTGCGGATTGAAAGAGGCGAGCTTCTTGCTGGGACTCTTTGCAAAAAGACGCTTGGGACGTCTACTGGAAGTCTTGTTCATGTCATTTGGTAATATACTGCCTTATGTTTTCTTCCCATGGTGATCTCAGGGCTTGTGTGGGACACATTGAACTATTGGTTTTGATGAGATCCTTTGTTTTAACTTCTCTTTGTTGAACTGGCTTTACAGGGAAGAGGTTGGTCCAGATGCAGCTAGAAAGTTCTTGGGTCATACTCAGTGGCTTGTCAATTACTGGCTTTTGCAAAATGGTTTTACTATCGGGATTGGTGACACGATTGCTGACTCAGCAACTATGGAGAAAATTAACGAAACTATTTCTAACGCAAAGAATGCTGTGAAAGATCTTATCCGGCAGTTCCAGGAAAAGAAATTAGACCCTGAACCAGGACGAACAATGACGGAGACTTTTGAAAACAGGGTTAACCAGGTATCGAAAAGAGATTGATTCTTGGCTTATGATCCTCCTCCATTGCTTTCCTACTATACTAACGCATTGTTTGTGCTGTTAGGTGTTGAATAAAGCTCGTGATGATGCTGGAAGCAGTGCTCAGAAGAGTTTGGCAGAGACCAACAATCTTAAGGCCATGGTTACAGCAGGATCCAAAGGAAGTTTCATTAATATTTCTCAAATGACAGCATGTGTCGGCCAGCAGAATGTGGAAGGGAAGCGGATCCCATTTGGTTTTATAGGGCGGACATTGCCCCATTTCACCAAAGATGATTATGGTCCTGAAAGTCGAGGATTTGTCGAGAACTCGTACCTGCGAGGATTGACCCCTCAAGAGTTCTTTTTCCATGCGATGGGAGGAAGGGAAGGTCTTATTGATACTGCTGTGAAGACCTCTGAAACTGGGTATATCCAGAGGCGATTGGTTAAGGCTATGGAGGATATTATGGTTAAGTATGACGGTACAGTCAGGAACTCCTTGGGTGATGTTATTCAATTTCTCTATGGGGAAGATGGTATGGATGCTGTGTGGATTGAGTCACAGAAGCTAGATTCCCTGAAAATGAAAAAGTTTGAGTTCGATAGGACTTTCAAGTACGAGATCGATGATGAAAACTGGAACCCAACTTACCTAAGTGATGAGCATCTCGAAGATCTGAAAGGGATCCGGGAGTTGCGTGATGTTTTTGATGCGGAATATCAGAAACTTGAAGCTGACAGGTTTCAACTCGGGACAGAAATTGCAACGAATGGTGATAGTACTTGGCCATTGCCCGTTAACATCAAGAGACATATCTGGAATGCACAGAAGACCTTCAAGATTGACTTGAGGAAGATTTCAGACATGCATCCGGTTGAAATAGTCGATGCCGTCGATAAACTGCAGGAGAGGCTGTCGGTTGTCCCGGGAGATGATCCATTGAGTGTGGAAGCACAGAAGAACGCTACTCTATTTTTCAACATTCTACTTCGTAGTACTCTTGCGAGTAAACGGGTTTTGGAGGAATACAAGCTCAGCCGTGAGGCTTTCGAATGGGTTATCGGTGAGATCGAATCAAGATTTCTACAATCGTTAGTTGCGCCCGGGGAAATGATTGGTTGTGTTGCTGCTCAATCAATCGGAGAACCTGCCACTCAGATGACTCTGAATACATTCCACTATGCTGGTGTGAGTGCCAAGAACGTTACCCTTGGTGTTCCCAGGTTGAGGGAGATTATTAATGTAGCTAAAAGGATTAAAACACCTTCTCTATCTGTCTACCTCGGGCCTGAACCTAGTAAGACAAAAGAAGGGGCTAAAACCGTTCAATGTGCTTTGGAATATACTACTCTCAGGAGTGTCACTCAAGCTACGGAAGTTTGGTATGACCCGGATCCAATGAGTACAATTATAGAAGAGGACCTTGACTTTGTCAGGTCCTACTATGAGATGCCTGACGAAGATGTTTCTCCGGACAAGATATCTCCATGGCTGCTGCGTATTGAGTTGAATCGTGAGATGATGGTTGATAAGAAGTTGAGTATGGCCGATATCGCCGAGAAGATCAATCTTGAATTTGACGATGACCTGACTTGTATTTTCAATGATGACAATGCTCAAAAACTCATCCTACGGATCCGCATCATGAATGATGAGGCTCCGAAGGGGGAGCTGCAAGATGAATCGGCTGAAGATGACGTTTTCCTCAAAAAGATTGAGAGCAACATGCTTACTGAAATGGCTCTCAGAGGCATTCCAGACATTAACAAGGTTTTCATTAAACAGGTCAGAAAGAGCCGGTTTGATGAGCAAGATGGATTCAAGACGTCAGAGGAGTGGATGTTAGATACAGAAGGTGTTAATCTCTTAGCTGTTATGTGCCACGAAGATGTGGATCCGAAGAGGACGACGAGCAATCACTTGATTGAAATCATCGAAGTTCTTGGAATCGAGGCAGTTCGTCGAGCTTTGTTGGATGAACTGCGTGTTGTGATATCCTTTGATGGATCTTATGTGAACTACCGCCATCTCGCCATCTTGTGTGATACCATGACTTATCGTGGCCATCTAATGGCAATCACTCGACATGGTATCAATCGAAATGACACTGGGCCACTGATGAGATGCTCTTTCGAAGAAACAGTGGATATTCTTTTGGATGCTGCCGCCTATGCTGAGACAGATTGCTTACGGGGTGTTACCGAAAATATAATGCTGGGCCAACTTGCCCCGATCGGGACTGGGGATTGTGAACTGTATTTGAACGATGCGATGCTGAAGAATGCAATCGAACTGCAACTCCCCAGTTATATGGATGGTCTGGAGTTTGGGATGACGCCTGCTCGTTCACCAGTGTCGGGAACTCCTTACCATGAGGGAATGATGTCTCCGAGCTACATGCTGAGTCCTAATTTTCGTTTGTCGCCAATCTCAGATGCTCAGTTCTCTCCTTACGTTGGTGGAATGGCCTTTTCGCCCTCTTCATCTCCTGGCTATAGCCCGTCATCACCTGGATATAGCCCGACCTCCCCTGGTTATAGCCCTACTTCACCTGGATACAGCCCGACGTCTCCAGGATACAGTCCCACTTCGCCTACTTACAGTCCGAGTTCTCCCGGCTATAGTCCAACAAGCCCGGCTTATTCTCCTACGAGTCCATCTTATTCTCCCACCTCTCCAAGTTACAGCCCTACATCTCCAAGCTACAGTCCGACATCCCCGAGCTACAGCCCGACATCCCCGAGCTACAGCCCGACTTCCCCGAGTTACAGCCCGACTTCTCCCACTTACAGTCCGACTTCTCCTGCTTATAGCCCGACTTCACCTGCATACAGTCCCACCTCTCCCTCTTACAGCCCAACCTCACCCTCTTACAGCCCGACATCCCCTTCTTACAGCCCTACTTCGCCTTCATACAGTCCCACATCGCCGTCTTACAGCCCTACTTCACCTGCATATAGCCCTACATCTCCTGGCTACAGCCCGGCTTCACCAAGTTACAGTCCAACATCGCCGAGTTATGGTAATACTTCACCGAGCTACAACCCGCAGTCGGCTAAATACAGTCCATCTCTAGCGTACTCTCCCAGTAACGCGAGGTTGTCGCCATCCAGTCCTTACAGTCCTACATCACCAAACTATAGGTACAGCAAGCTATGGTGTTTTGCCTTATCTTATATCCCTTATGGGCTTCTCGTTAATCGGTCTTTCTGTTGTGTGCTTTTCGTTGTTCGTTGACACTTTTGAAAACTTTTACTATGCAGCCCAACATCTCCATCATATTCACCGACATCTCCATCTTATTCTCCTTCAAGCCCGACTTACAGCCCTAGCAGGTTTGGCATTTTACCCTGTTGTGTGCTTCCACCACCATTAATGGCTTCGAAACCCTGTAACATTAACCGGGCTGTTTCTTTCTTTAATCTGTCACACAGTCCATACAGCTCGGGGGCGAGCCCTGACTACAGCCCAAGTGCCGGATACTCGCCAACGCTTCCGGGGTACTCGCCATCGTCGACTGGTCAGTACACACCACATGAGGGTGAGAAAGAGGACAAGACTCAGAAAGACAGACAGGCTGGTAAGGATGATAAATAAAAGCAACCGTTGAAGAACTGAAGAACAATGGAAGCATAAACAAGCTTTTTAGGTACTGTGAAACTCTTTATCGTTGGATCGATCACTTGCTTCATCTTCATACCGATCCTTAACTGATTGTTGCAGTGTCGTCTAACCGCAGATAACAGACCATATTCACGCTTTCAAAGTCGGGAATCAACAGAAAGAACCGATAAGGGCGTGAAAAAAGTGGTCGTAAGGAACTTCATGAACGTGGTTTCTGTATGCTTTGAGTTTGTAAGTTAAAAAAACTCTACTAAAAAAGCACTTGTGACAGGAAAAAAAAAATAAGCTCTCAACTCTTGATGGTTTGCTTCGAGCTTCTGTGTGTTGCGAAGATATTTTTTTTTTAATTTTAAATGGAACAATATTATTTGTGTACTGTCTGATTCTGGGTTTGTCATCAATGGAGGGACACGATAGTATTAGGTGGTCGGAAGATGAGATTGGATTCGATTGTTTTGTCTTTAACACTTTCTGTATCTAAAAAATGTCATCTTTTTGTCTGCTTTATTGTCATAATGCTGTATCTTTCTGTTGCTGGTGATTTGAGAAAGATTCATAATACCATCTGATTGTATAATTTGGAATGATTTTTTTTTTTAATACAATGGATATTTATCTTTGTAATGAACTAATTTTTGAACTGTTGATGACGAGATAAGACAAAAAAAGACAAAACAAAACCAGAAAAACTGATGGGGGCCTTTTGTACTTTTGGGATTCTGTCAAATCCAGTGGGTTTCAATTTGCTTAACTAGCACGAGTGAGTATATTCAACACTAACGTGAGATCTGATTTGCCTTCCTGTCCTGAAAGGCTGTCTTTTAGTTAAATCCAAAGCCTTTCTGCCATCACATCACACCTCTCTCTCTCTCCAACCGGAGAGAGAAGAAGCCAATGACGTGCGGAACTGCTTTCCAAACATTAAAGCTCAGCAAGCTAACACCATCGTCAACACTCCTCTCAGCCCTCCACGTCTCCATCCTTGCTCTTATTAAAAATCAAAACTTTTTATGATCTGTGCATTGATTTCGCCATTGCTCGTATACCCACGGATTCTGCAACAATTCCAGTAGGGTTTTTGTGGTTTGTGTCGGGCTTTTTCCGTTCTCTGACAATCCCTGTAGTCCCCCCTGATATACCGTTCTTTGCGTTTCACCGCACCTTTGCTCTCCGATTCTTGTTTTAGATTATCGTTGTTTGATCTGTCGCCGTAGAGAAGCGGCGGCGATGGCGGACAAGGCCTCGGAGGAGGTGATGCTCCTACACGGTGACTTGGATTTGAAAATCGTGAAGGCGAGGAGGCTGCCGAACATGGATCTGTTCTCTGAGAACCTCCGCCGCTGTTTCACCGCTTGCGACGCTTGCACCACGCCTTCGGCGAATGTCGACTCCGCCGGTAACGGCGACGGTGACGGAGTCAGGGATAGAGACTCTCACGGCCACCGGAAGATCATCACTAGCGATCCGTACGTCACCGTCGTGGTTCCGCAGTCGACTCTCGCTCGTACTCGCGTCCTAAAAAACTCCGAGGATCCTCACTGGAACGAGCATTTCGTCGTGTGCTTGGCGCATCCATTGCCGTACCTCGAGTTCCAGGTCAAGGACGACGACGTATTCGGCGCGGAGCTCATCGGCTCCGCTAAGATCCCGGCGAAGGAAATCGCCTCCGGCCAACGCATCTCCGGTTGGTTCCCGGTCCTCGACGCATCGGGAAAGCCGCCGAAGAAAGACACCGCCATCTATCTCGAGATGCAGTTTACGCCGTTCGATCGGAACCCAACCTACCGCCGGGGAATCACAGGCGATAAAGGAACATACTTTCCACTGAGGAAAGGAAGTCATGTGAGGTTGTACCAGGATGCTCACGTCATGGACGGAATGTTGCCGGAGATAGAGCTGGACGACGGGAAGGTTTTCCGGCAGGAGAAATGCTGGGAGGATATATGTTACGCCATTTCAGAGGCTCACCATATGATATACATTGTCGGCTGGTCGGTCTTCCACAAGGTGAAGCTGGTTAGAGAACCCACAAGGCCATTGCCGCGAGGTGGAGATTTAACACTTGGGGAACTCTTGAAGTACAAATCAGAAGAGGGCGTTCGAGTTTTGCTTCTTGTCTGGGATGACAAGACTTCTCATGATAAGTTCGGATTCAGAACAGTAAGTGTTCTTCTTCCATTTCTTGCCTGTTTTAGCCATTTTGAGCTCTGTTTCTGACATAGTTGCAGTGTTCGTGTTCATTTACTGGTTTCAGAACACCAAAAAGATTAGGAATCTGGTTTCTGTTCATGTCCGAACATACTGGTTTCGGTGTTTTCGATCTTATCCTAATGGAATTTGGTGCAGGCAGGAGTTATGCAGACCCATGATGAAGAGACAAGGAAGTTCTTCAAGCACTCTTCTGTGATATGTGTCCTGTCTCCCCGTTACGCAAGCAGCAAGCTCGGGTTGTTCAAACAGCAGGTAAGTTACTGTCTTTACGACATATATCGATTGAATTTAATCTACTCTGTCTTTGAATACGGTTTCTCGCCCATGGATCTAGCTTCTTACCGTAGATGTCTTTTGGAATCGTCTCTACTGCTTACTTCCCAGGTTGTGGGAACTCTCTTCACACACCATCAAAAATGTGTTCTTGTGGACACTCAGGCCGCCGGTAATAACCGTAAGATTACAGCTTTTATAGGAGGTATAGATCTATGTGATGGTCGCTATGATACACCCGAGCATCGCCTATTCCGTGATCTTGACACTGTTTTTAAGGATGATTTTCACAATCCTACATTTCCAGTGAGTAGATGATTATTATTTTATGCAGTAGTTTCCATTTCCACATCTGGAAATCTTGTTGCTTTCCCTTCTTCTGATAATTTCTCCATTCCTTCTTCTTCTTCTTCTTCTTCTTCATCAGAATGGCACAAAGGCTCCAAGACAACCTTGGCATGATCTGCACTGCCGAATAGATGGACCGGCTGCATATGATGTCCTCATAAACTTTGAACAGCGTTGGAGAAAGGCAACTCGATGGAAAGAGTTCAGCTTTCGTTTCAAAGGGAAACGTCGCTGGAAAGACGATGCTCTGATACGAATAGGACGCATCTCGTGGATTTTAAGTCCCGCATTTTCAAATCTCAAGGATGGTACTACAGTAGTTCCAAAGGATGATGGCCCGATAGTTTGGGTTTCGAAAGAAGATGACCCCGAAAACTGGCATGTTCAGGTTTTGTTTTTATGCAAATGCCTTCCTGCAAGACACGTTTTCGTGTAACGATATTCATTCAAGAATCCGCCTAAAGTTGTGTTTTTCTCTTTTTTTTGAACTTTCAGATATTCCGGTCTATTGACTCAGGATCGGTGAAAGGGTTCCCGAAATACACTGATGAGGCCGAGGCCGTGGTCTGTAGATGAAATCATTTCTTCCTTAATCATTGTCCTTTCCACGATTCAGCTTTTAAGTCTTCAGAATTTGTATGTTCAATGCAGAATCTTGTGTGTGCAAAACGGTTGGTCGTTGATAAAAGCATCCAGACTGCATACATCCAAGCAATAAGATCCGCTCAGCATTTCATATATATCGAGAATCAGTATTTCCTCGGTTCTTCCTATGCGTGGCCTTCTTATAAAGACGCAGGTCTCTTTCTCGTTCCTGGACCCGACCCGAGTTCATAAATCCTCTGCAGAATTGATATCGGCGATAAAGTTGAATGCTTTTTTTTCTATGTTCATGCACTTGTTCTTACTGGCAGGAGCTGACAATCTCGTTCCAATGGAGTTGGCATTGAAGATTGCTACCAAGATTAGAGCCAGAGAGAGATTTGCAGTGTATATAGTTATACCCTTGTGGCCTGAAGGTGACCCCAAGTCTGGCCCTGTCCAGGAAATTCTATACTGGCAGGTAATATACACACACACAAATATATATATAATATCATATCATAGAGGTTCTTCTTGAATTTGCTTTCATGGAGGATCCTTCTCATTTGGTGCAGAGCCAGACGATGCAGATGATGTACGGAGTTATAGCGAAGGAGCTGACGTCGATGCAGATGTTAGATGCTCATCCTTTGGATTACCTCAACTTTTACTTTCTTGGTAAAAGAGAACAACTTCCAGAAAGCTTGATGGACAACAATGGCGGCAACGGCAACTCGGTATGATTCCGAAATCTGAAATCTCTTCATGCAAATCACAAGATCAAAATGGAGAAAGTTTCTTACTCACTTCATAATGCATAATATTGGGCACGCCCCGAATCCGAACCCGGGTCTCATGAGATATTACCCGATTCCGTGGCCATTTTAGTCGGATACTTTTGTTTTCGAAATTTGGATTTTCTTGTCAATATAAATATGAGTTGATTCTGACAGGTGTCAGAAATTTTCGGGCTATCCGAACTCGAACTTGAAATTTCCGTAGGGTTTTATGTAAGAGGCGAATATGTCATTTTACGGTTCATTCGGGTAATGCTGATCTCGGTCCCAATTACTCGAGTCCAAACCCGATTTTCGGGTTTTCTTGACATTATTACCCGATTTTATCTCATATAAAGCTCGGATACCCAAATTACGTGCCTGCCCTGATGCATACATATCATCTCAAATTTCAGGTACCGGATTCGTATAAGTTCAAGAGGTTCATGATTTATGTGCATGCGAAAGGGATGATAGTAGATGATCAATACGTAATCATCGGATCCGCAAATATAAAACCAAAGATCACTGGCTGGCACTAAAGACACCGAAATAGCAATGGGCGCTTATCAACCTCACCGCACGTGGTCTGCTAACCGCAAACACCCTCGCGGCCAGGTATCATGTAACCCGAGTCCGAGTTCAAATACAAAATTCGATCTTTTTCAAAATACATTAGGAGTTGATTCAGTTACAGAATCAAGACGAATATGTTCATTGCCACAGGTTTACGGATACAGAATGTCGCTATGGGCGGAACATCTGGGCGGGACGAGTAGGCATTTCGTGGAGGCAGAGGACGTGGAATGTGTGAGAGCGGTGAACCAAATCGCGGAGGATAACTGGAACAAGTTCACGGCTGAAGAATTCGCAGAGCTGAAAGGTCACCTCATCAAATACCCTCTCCAAGTCGATTCCGACGGTAGAGTCAGCTCTCTTCCCGACTTCGAGGATTTCCCGGACGTCGGCGGTAAGATCATCGGAGCTCATTCCGTTGCTCTTCCTGACGCCTTGACGACTTAGCTGTCCGATATTTGTGAGAAAGGAATGGACAAAACTCAGTTAAGTTGAAGAGGTGAAGTAATAATGTGTTGGAAGAGCATAGAGTGTGGTTCTATTTGGTGTGTTGTGTTATTTTTTGCTGTAAAATTTGGTAAACATCATTTTCTTAAAACTTTTAGAAGAAACTAAATAATGGATTTGGTGAAAATATTTTTTGACATGATTCTGTTAACAAAAATAGTCTCTATTTATTTATCAATTAGTACAACATTTTTAATATTTTTTACAATAATATGTAAGATGTGATCAAGTTTAAAATTTTAATTATTTAGTGTACTATCACTAATGTTATTCATATGTTATTAGGTTTCTTCTAAGTTTTGTGATATTTGGTTAAGTTTTATTCGGGTAATAGTATCCAATGGTTTGTTTGATGGGTATAGTTCTATTTGGAAGTTTATTATATTTGTATATTATTCATAAAAATTAAAAACTATTTATTAATTTTAAATAGATTAATGAGTTGATGGTTTCTATAAGATTGTTTTTTTTAATTGTTTACTATGTTTTAATAAAAAAAAAATCAAAATTTTGTTTGGTAAAAGTAAAAAAGAGAGAATCATGAAGTTGAGCCAACAAAAAACATTCAGGCGCAGGTGAATAAACGTGAGTCTTGCCGCATGTAATTATAACTCGCGTTATATATAAACTTCTCTCGAATAAATCATTCTGCAGATTGTTGCGCTTTTGCCCACAGTAAAACCCTAATTCTCTCCAATTCTGCCCCGACTCGCGCCTTTCTGCTTCTCTCGAAATGGTAAGCCTTTAGGGTTCGTCAATTGTTTTCGATATTGTTCTCCGTCGTCTATATCGTTTGGATATGTAAGTAATCTCTGGATTTGTTTTGATTCGTTGTGCAGGCGGATTCTCCTAGGAGAAGGTTAGATTCAGCTTTTTCCCTTCGAATGTTTTGTTGTTGCCAGTGATCTAATCTGTACATTTTAGCCTTCGTTTCTCTCACTGGTGTTCGATTTCGTTCGCTACAACTCGCTTTATATGTCCATCCGCGTCTTGGATGTTTTGTGTTTTGTCATTTCCATAGCCCTTGGCATACGTATGTTACGAAGCTTATAGACTTGTTTGGTGTATATGAGAATATCTTGGCTTTTGTGCTGTGGTGTGTAAAAGTGTGTGAATTTTGCTTTTCTAAGCTATGCGTAACATGTACGGTGATGTGGGTTGTTTTTTGTTTCCTTCGTAATGTTCTTCCACTGCAAATGAGTTTGGTAACTCCTGAAGTCTCCACTAGAACAACAGTACCACTGTCCTACGGTTCGTGGGATGCTTGGTCTGAGAGTTGATTTTCAACCCAGAGCGCAGACTAAAGATGTGTAATTGTTTACATGTTTGCTGCATCAGGGATTCACGATCTCCTTCACCCTGGAAAGAACAGTCCAGGTCCAGATCCAGATCTAGGTCTAGGCCTAGGGCCAGGTCCAGGTCCAGATCCAGATCCTTGCCAAGGCCAAGATCTCGCTCAAGGAGCCGTGGCAGGTTAGTTGTTGTGTTAGGTTTTGCTATTGCTTGTGCCTTGTGCAGCTGGATTATGTCTCTAGGTGGATTTTGTCTGACGTATACTTATCAATTATTGTTTATTTGATTGTTTCCCTTCTAGATCGAGGTCAAGAAGTCGTGGGAGGTTGGTTATAGCTGCTCTTTTCCTTTTTTTTTTTCAAAAGCTTACATTGTTTTGTAGTATCACTGGTGCCTGAGATAACTTCTTTTATGGTCTAATTTTGTTATTTTTTACATTTTTGTTGACAGGACCGAAGTTGAGAATCCTGGAAATACGCTTTATGTGACTGGTCTATCTACAAGGGTCACAGAAAGGGACCTGGAAGAGCACTTCTCCAAGGAGGGAAAGGTGACAAGATGTTGCATATCCTCCTTCCTTTATAACAATCTGATATGTTTTGTCTTCACATCTGCTAGAATGCTACCATCCGATCTTTAATTTTGAAGTTAATTAGCTGCATTTCCGTTTAGGTCTCCTCATGTTTTCTTGTGGTGGAGCCCCGCACTCGTGTATCTCGTGGTTTTGCCTTTGTTACAATGGAAACCTATGAAGACGCTGATCGCTGCATCAAGTACCTCAACCAATCTGTTCTTGAGGGACGATACATTACAGTTGAAAGGGTAATCACACTACACATTTTGTGGCAATATGTTAATAGTTGATATCATTCTTGTTGACTCGGAGGCTTTCTGACTGCATTCAGAATATATTGTGTCAGCTAGTGTTGGCAGCAATCAAAGATGATGAGTTCATCCTTGCCAACATAAGTGAAACACAGCTTGATCAATGGCCAGCTTAAACAGCTTTCCCAAATGATCTGATCAACTAATCATAGCAACTATATTGCCCAACATCTATACAACTTCAGCATTCAATTTCAACTCTCAACTAATCAACGGACATTATCAACAACTTTTAATCAGGGCTTTCATGGTATTGGAGGCTTTGAGTTTATCTGATGCTACACTGATTTACGCATGTTTATCCTTTCCATACCTTTTTTGGTTTCCTTTTCTTGTCTATTTTCGAGTTGTTCTTTAAATAATTGTTTTTTTCCCTGAAAATGCTTTTGACAAGTTCTGGTTTTAGCAAGCTGATTGTCTCCATTGTCATCGGTTCTCTCTGCTTCCAGGCTGTCTGACTTTGCATCTCATTCTATATGATTTTATTCTGTTTCCTTCAGTCCCGTAGGAGGCGACCAAGAACTCCCACCCCTGGACATTATCTTGGCCTGAAAAGCTCGAGGGATTATGGTAAGTCAGACATTGAAATTTGTTTCATCAATGGTTTCAGCAAGCAATTTCAAAAAGATGATATATTTCTGTTACTTTTTTTTTGTTTTCTATATCTGGGGGGAAAAGGGCGGGACCGTGGTAGCAGGTACCATGGGAGAGATGATTACGGGCACAGAAGGTCACCAAGACGGTCTCCTTACAGAGGAGGACGTGACTATTCGCCTCGTGGGAGAAGATCGAGGAGAGATCGGTCTTACTCTCCATACGGGAGCCCTGAAAGGAGGCACCCCCGTGGTTCAAGGTGAGCTAATGGGAATATTAGCCAAATGATATGATCTGGAACACTTGTCTCCGTTTGAAGTAGGTATGTGTAATTTCGATGACAGATTGTCTCCGCTTTGGATCTCTTTGTCAAACTAATGTCCTCTTTTGTTGTGGGTTTGGTGCTTGAGCTTTCAGAATGTATGAGTGAGAACTACAAACTTTATGGTGTTTTTAAGTAACAACATTGCTTCGTTGTTACTTGTTAGCATGAAGGATCATTTAAATTAGGGTTCGAATATCCGATGTCCATTGGTTTAGGATTATCATATATGTCCGGATTGGTTTTTGCCCTCATGTAGTAAAATATGAGGAATGTCGTACCGGTTTTACATTTTCAGGTTGCTTGCTAGTTTGTGAATCAGTCAGCTCACATTTTCAATGCTACTTGCCATTCTTGAGAACAAAAGCTGTGATTTTTCAATCTTTTAGGGCCAAAAAAAGACTCCGTATATAAAAGGAATAAATAATACACCACTCTTGGAATTTTCAGAGTATAATACGATGCCCCATACAAAAGAATATAACCCCAACACTATGCACTTTGGATATTACATATACGTTCCCCTTATTATAGCTGCAAGTCCAATGAAGCCGGAATTTCAGCAGAAAAATGCAACTCAGCCATGAGATTTACGGCGCTTGAGAGCCTCAAATCGAGCAGCCAACATATCGTAGTCGGGAAGTTTCGGGTGAACATGGTGACCTCCAGAGTCTCGTCTGGCCTCCGATGGAGGAGGAGGAGGAGGAGCTTGGGGCGGTGGCCGAGTGGGAGGGAGAGATGAAAAGCGAGCCACTGCTGACCTGTTTTCTTCTGGTTCTGTCTCCTCTTCGTAGTCTGACTCATCGAAGTTGATCTCTGTCCGAGCAGCAGAGTTGTTACTGTGCCTCTTGACCCTGAAAGTGTCTGCTTTTTTCTCGGCTGCTTCTTCTTCTGTTGTCCCGGTGTCTTCCTCGTTGTCAGATTCATCAAACTTTATGCCCGAGCCAGCGTTATAGCTGCTGCGTCTCCTACAGGCTCTTCTTCTGTCTTCCACGGAGCGTTTTCCCGAGCTTATTTCAGAGTCTTGGGATTGTGCTCTTGAAGCTGAATGTCCAGAATGGGGATGATGATCCATGTAATGTGGGTTCTTCGGGTTTGTAGTGTTACCGATTGACGATGGTTCGGAGAATTGCTTGACGTCTCTGTTTGCCAGAAAGGCAGCTGCTTGTGCTGCAGCTACCGCTTTCATGGCTGATTCAGCAGCTGCTTCGGCTGCAGATTCTGTGTCTTGGAAATGCGTGGTGACGCCGCCATTGCAACTGTTCGATCTGAGCAAACAATGAAAAGGAATGATCAGGAAAAAAAAAAAGAGCTTACGGGAAAACATTTTTCACCGGTCGAACTCTTCAGATATGTTCTTTCACCTGGGCATTGGGGTATTTCGATCGAGAGGTTCATGATCTGCAGGCCTAACAGGAAAACTCGACGCACTGACAAAAGTCCGTGGCCCTTCCTGTCGTCATGAAAGAACGAGTGAAGGATTAGAATCCCTAATCACTTCTTCTTCTCGGGTCAGCAGATGTGGCGAAAAAAAAGGGAATGAGAGAAAGTTCGAGTAAACAAAAACGTACTATGACTTCTTCCGGGGGCTTGAGGAGCTCCTGCTCGGACTCTGTTGTGTCCCAATCAACCTGGAATTCCTTAGCAATTTCCTTCATGATCTTCAGCTTGAACTCACCACTCGAGTTCCTAACCGAGAGCTTATCCACCAACTACAAGCAGAAGAGAAAAACAGCACACAAAGGTGAATATGGATCACTAAAAGATACTTGCTTCAATGGAAAAAAAATGAACTTTCAATTCCGACATACTCTACACGAGCGATATAATATGATGTATCAATTACCATTCGGTTTACACCGCAACTGGGCCTCAGATCGGTAGCAGCTGATACAAAATCTCTTCCATATTTCTTCTCGAATGTATCTCTAAGATCTGCAAGTTCGGGAATTTCTGAGCATCGGGGCGCTGCGAAAATCACACTGGCGATTCCTTCCTTAAGATCAGCAGGGCATTCCCTAAATGACATTTGCAGCCAGACACACACTTCAACATGAGCAACCAATACATACACATGATCAGGACAAGGGTTTCCCTTAACAGGCATACCTCTGCTTGGTGATGATAGTGAGGCGGGTGACAATTAGTTCACAGAAAAGCTCGATGATCTCATTTGCTGCAAGAATATTCTGTTCCCTAATCACATGCTCGACCTACAATGTGAATTCATCAGTGGGGTTCTGTTGTTAGCGGCGGCCTAAGAATCTTGTGGAAAGGACAGGAAAAGGAACTACAAAGGAACATAGATAAGAACCCTAAAGAATCATAAACCCTAAAACCAGAACTAAGTTAAGATACAGGGCAAAAGGGAAACAGGGGAAAACCCGGATACGAGCGGTGGCATCCTGACCGGACTGAAGAAGCATAGCAATGTCACGCCTCATCTGCTTCACAACCACTTGCCTTTTGTTCCTCAGTAGCTTTATCCGAGCCATCGCCATCTTCGCCGCCGTTTTGCTTTTTAAGAAAAACAACACAAGTTCATCGTCAGACGCTTTGATCAGAGAGTTAAACGAAGAATCTGAGTTCATTGCGCTCAGAAATATACACAAATGAATAGGGAAAAAAAGATTAGGTTATTGATGCCAGAAAATCAAAATTGCTGATTTTTTTTCCTGGGCAACCAAAAAGGGAAGATGAAACTAAGAATCTGAGAACGCCCACGTCGATTCCCAGGGTAAATTAGCATGAGGGGACTCAAGAGCACACAAACTTTCAACTTTGCGAGAACCCATCTGAAAATGTCCATCCAAAACCCAACAGAGAGAGAGAGAGAGAACCATTTGGAAGGGTTGAAGCCTCGGCGGAAGAGAGAGAGACTGAACTTCATGAGCTTCTTGGACTGTGCGGAGGCTATTCCGACGACCGTCATTTCTCTCCTGTCACTGGTAGTGGACGACAAAAGGCAGAGCACCCGAAGAAGAAGAAGAAGAGCGTAACGGACCGTTGAGAGGGATTGGAAGCAGACTATTTGTGGGGCCCACGTGGATCACCGACTTCCAGAGAAGTTGACCCCGTCAAAATATAGCCGTTACGTCTCCTTTCACACGTCACGCTCGTGCCTTGGGAATGACCAACCGAACGAGGATCCAATGTTCATTATTGTTGGATCTTTCTTACTGGGCCTTGTTTGGGCTTTTAGAACATGCCATGTTTTATAACTCGTAAAATCAAATTTAATCATAAATAGATAATTAATGATGACAATATCCGTTTATTATACATGAAAAAAAAAGTCAGATATGAAATCATTTTATTTCCTAAGTATCTTGGTATTTACTGAAATACTAGTGATAATTAATAATTGTGCATTTAGTTCACCAATTATACAACTAAACATGCATTGTATATTCTTATACAATTAAATATTTTTTAACATTTAGATTTTATCTTGTTTTTATTTTTTCGAAATTTATATTCTCTAAATTGCGCACCATCTAAAATTCTTTAACAATATATTCTCTAATAATATCTCGATTACTTTTTCACCGTCAACGGAATACACATATATATATACATGTATATTAGTATATATATCATCAATTAATGTAGTGTACAAAATTGTATATACTAATTACATAAACCTCTTCTTCGTCTTCCCTAATCACTGAGAGGTTACGTTGAGGAGCGAAGCGCGTGTTCTGATCAATCGTCTGAACAAATTTTCAAGATTCTTCTCAAACCCTCCAACGCTTATCTCCAGCTCTTCCAGTTTCTTTCCAAGAACTTCGCGAGAATATTCTCCGCGTGAGACCACTGAGTCGAGGCTCTCTAACTCGTTCTCTTCCCTCTTCTTGATCTTGTCGGTTTCCTCGCCATCTTTCTGCAGCATCTTCATAACCACCAACGACCACTTGTTCTTCTTACTTCCCGACAAGAACTCCAAGAACGAGTTCAAGATCGAGGCACTGACCGAGACGACGCGTCTCATCACGTGGACCACTGCCACGAGGTGGTCGTCTTCTTCATCCGTGATCACCCTCCCAGCTATGTTCTCGATCTGTTTCAGTGAGACAAGAAGCTTCCGAGCCTGTTTCCTCATGTTCTTCCTGAAACCCACGTAACTCGAAACGACGCCGTGGTCGTTTCCTCCTCTCCTTCTTCTCACACCAGACTGAAGAGCTCGAACGTTTTCTCCTGTCTCCACCATTAGATCCCTCGAAACACTGCATATATCCATCAATCTCAGCGACCCATCAAGCAGTTCTTCGAGAAACTTCCTACGTTCAGACAGAACCCGTTGCGTCGAACCCATGTTCAGAAGATCGTCCGTACACTTGTACAGCTCCTCCAAGCCCGACAAACTCGCACAGATCGATCTCGAACTCGACGTCGAAATCTCCATGGCCGATAGCTCGTTAAGCCCTTCTTCTATCGCAAGAGTGCTCGGATGCGACCTCGAAGGGAAACTGATCGATCTAACATGGTTCTTGATCGCCATTTTCTGTTTGTTTTTGCTCTGCGGCATTCAACGAGAACATTACATACATGCACGCACATATATATAGCGTGGGTTTATGTTACACCATCGGCCAGCAATACTTCAACAATTGGTTTAATTATAAAGATTATAATATTATAATGATGCGACATGAGCTGTCGTGCCTTTTTCTTGTCAAGTTTTGCGTAATTATTTGGCCACAAAACGGATGACTCATCATCTGTTCTGCCTCCCGTTGTGCCACATTATCTATGGAAAAACCTATTATTTAAATGATTTGGACCGTCTTTAGTGTTAACGGTAGGTAACAAGATCCGGATCTTCTCGACCATATCATATACGGGTAATACGTAGCTTTGTTTTTTTTTTTTTTTGTTAATGAATACGTAGCTTTGTTACGTCCTCCTAAATTTAAAAAAAATGTACTTCATATGATTAGCCTAAAGGTATTTTGTTACTATTCTCATTGTACGTACACGTGTAGAAGGCGGGAGATTTTTTTAGATTCTCACATTATATTCGCTGATAATTGTATCATATGAGGCATTGCCACGTGTAACGTTTGGGGAAAGAATTTAAATAATTATCAAACAAAGCAATTGGGTGTGGATAAACTCTCCAATAATGTGGCGCAAAAACAAGATGCTTTTAGGATTTGGCTTTTACAATTCATTGAATGATACACAAAATAAAAGCAATAAAGTTCAAAACATAAACATATTGTGGTGCACTTATTATATCACGCCATTATAAATTGCATCATCATTATTTTTCTATTTCCCGTTATAATAAGATAATTAAATGTAAAAAAGTTAATTTTTTTTTTATAATCCGGAAGTTAAAAGACCCGACTACATCTCTCAGATTACCGGAAAAACCCATATGAATGCCTCTCCCCACGTTTGGATTTGAATCCAGGATAAGAACATGCTCTGCATGTTTTCTCACCACTAGTCCACCCAAGTTTGGGCATCATATACATAAAAAAATCCGAGTTTTTTTTTTTTGCGTTTAAAGTATTGTATGTATGTATGTATGATTTTGGGAAGAACTATTACACTTGTAACCATGATGGGCCAAAAAAAAATGTACATGTAACGGATTGAACAATAACAGATAAAGAAAAAAAATCTTTTTTTTACACGGTTCTACTGATGATGTTAAGGAGCAAGACTCTGTACTGAACTAAACACTTCAACACTGAATCATGTCCTGTCTCCAATGCCCGACAACCACCTTCAAGATCCCTCAGCTTCTTCTGCACCCTCTGAACTTCAGCTTCGGTTCTTGAATTGGATTCACCGTTGTTTCTGACTCTCGATCTCAAATCTTGAAACGAACCCATAAACAGATCCAGGCTCTGCACTTCGTTGTTAATCAGATCAAACCCCTTCTCAGACGAAGTCGACGACACGAAAGGAATCACCTTTCTTGGAATCCAGAAGAACCCATCAGTGTTCTTCATCTTTGTCCATGTCGGCGTCGACAGGAACAAAAGGGTATGCCTGAAAATCGAAGCCGTGATTCTGATCGTTTCGTTCACAATTACGCTCTCGTAGTTTCCGTCGGCGAAAACGTTAAAGGAACCTTCTCTGGATTGAATCTTCTTCAGGGCTGTAATGTGTTTCGCGATCTCCTTCTTCGCCTTCTTCCTCACGTTAACGTAAGCGCTAACGTCCTGTTCGACGATTGGATCCAATCCCTTCCTTCGAAGAGCGGATTGCAGATTCTGAATGCCTTCCCTCATCGCCATGAGGATGTTCCTCAGCGCCTCGCAAGTATCTAACAACAGAAGCGATGCATCCAAAGAATCTTCGAGAACTTTCCCCTTCTGGTGATGGAGAAGAG